GCGCAGGCGCGGGTTGACGCGTGTCTGCTCGTTGAGCTCGAGGAGGATGTCGAGGATCTGGTCGTTGTTCTCCTGCAGGCGGCGGGCGGTGCCCATGGCCTTCCACTCCTGCTTGATGAGGCTGTCGCTGTCGTTCATGGCCTCTTCGAACCTGATGCGCATCTTGCGGTATTTTCGTCTTTTATGCACATTAGCTGGGGACTGCATTTAATCCGTCGGCGCGTCATACCTCCACGAGCGCTTGACGGGCTTCTGCGTCGCATCGGGTGCATCGGCGGGCGGTGCATCGTGGGCGAGAGCGTGGGACTCCATCGGGGGCGGCGCTTCCGAGGCCATGGTGGTGAAAAGGGTGGTGGTTGGAGGGTCTTTGGCGGACGGAGGTGGTAGTGTCTGGTTCTAGAGTTGTATGGTTGCGCTCAGGGCACGGCCTCGGTGATTGCTAGGAACACGGTCTTTGGGAGCATCATGTGGACCTGCCACGCCTCCGTCTTCACGCCTGCCGACTGAGGCTTCACTCCCTCCTCCTCTGCCAACGAATCCCTCTTCTCTGCCCGCTGCCTTGCTACATCGCTACCGTCTACACGCCCTTCTCTGCGCCAATCGCTCAACGCCAAAAGCTCGGACGCCCCGGAAGGTATTGCGTACTCAGTAAGACCCTGAAAGCCCACGTCGCCGCCTTGCTCCTTTAGGACCTCACTGACATGCCATTGCCCGTGGCAGCTCTCCCATAGCCTCAGCTCGCCCACGCGCCTATCCATCCCCCGCTCCCACCGCCCGGCCGCCCGACGAACCCAGCAATACCGCCAAACTGTCACCCATACTCCTCAATCGCACCTCCCGCCTGAGCTTTGCTGGCGACCCGCGGTCTCGCCCATCAGACTCGCCCTCGTCCTACTCCAAGATGTCGCTGGATGCTGCAAAAGACGCGAGGAGGCGACGTAGCAGTAGTCTTGTCTACAAAGAGCCCCCCGAGTCTCTGGAGCAGCTGAGCGACCAGTCCGCCCTGCCCAACCTCAACGCCGAATGGGTGAATGCAAAGGGTGAGCACGAGATACCGCGCACACATATCATACGAGACAGAGATGATGTGTTGCTATTCTGTATCTCAGGCTAACACCTCCAGGCGCCTGGGCTATCCACTTTGTCCTTATCTTCTTCGGCAAGATTCTGTTCGACATCATCCCCGGCATGTCGCAAGAAGCATCATGGACCCTAGTCAACCTTTCGTACGTGGCGGGATCCTACCTCATGTTCCACTACGTGCGCGGTGTGCCCTTCGACTTCAACTCGGGCGCCTACGACAACTTGAACATGTGGGAACAGATTGACAACGGCGAACAATACACACCAGCCAAGAAGTTCCTTCTCAGCGTACCCATTGTGCTGTTTCTCGTCAGCACGCACTACACGAATTACAATCTGACGTATTTCCTCATCAACTGCTTTGCGACCATAGCAGTCGTCATTCCAAAGCTCCCCTCGGTATGCACCCCAAGACTCTTCAGACGAAGCATTACTAACTTCCCCAGCTCCACAGGATACGATTCGCCTTCTTCAACAACCCACCGGACGACGCATAGCCGACAATTCCCATAATCACATCCATTGGTTTCACTGTAATTTGCATGTATTTTTAATAGCAGCCGCCTGGCATGGCCAGATTGAGTAGCATCACCGCGTGGGAGCGGCGTTGGGCATATCCATATTCAAGGGAGGCGCTGGATTCACAAAAGTAGAGCAATTGATTACCTCGCGTGCTCACGTGGAGATAGTGGCTTGACCTAGCTGCATATATCGCATTCGGGACTGGTGCATACATATGATAGGGCCATAATTCTCCGCAAACATGCACTCACACGCCATCTCTACTGTTCTTTCTGAACGTCCATCACACCTAACCTTGGAATGCTTGGTAGTGTGGTTCAGCATGCAAGGTGCCACCACTTCCGGCAACTACGGTCCGAGCGCAATGCCCAATCCAGCCAACCTTCGTCATCGATGCGCACCTCCATGCAGCGTGATCCTTCGCGCTCGACACCTGATCGAACGCGCCATTAATCCTGCACTTCAGGTCCCTGTGATATTCGCCGCCCGAGGTCTTCGTGCGTGAATCTCCGCTGTGTTTCCAGCGCGCGCTTTCTTTGCGGTGTTCCAGAGTTCGCCATTTACCTTCGACGTCACGGCGATCATAGAACGCCTACTCTCGCCCAAGCTTCGCAGAGACTTCAACTCACTCACCACAATTGCACGCGTGCCTCTAACCAACAGTAAAGCATCATGGTCTGGTCTCAACTCGAGCCCACGGGGCCGCACGTTACTTACGTGACCCTGACCTTCTTTCTCATCTTGTACGCGCTGTTCTCGCTTATGATCCGGAACCGCCTGCATCTCTCAGAACCGCCTTTAGCCACGCTTTTCGGTATCGTAAGTACGGACATCTTTAAGAATGAATCTTTTTCTAACGAGACCGACAGATGGTCGGACCACGCGCTCTCAACCTCCTCAGGCCATATGAATGGGGCTTTTCCGTAAGTGTGCTCCTCATACAAACAAACAATACTAATCGTCGCAGGATGAAATTATCCAAGAACTGACGCGTCTCATCGTCGGGATTCAGTGCTTCGTAGTCGGTCTGGAGCTTCCCGCAGGCTATCTCCAAAAGAAATGGCGTGCCTTGCTTGTTCTTCTCGGGCCTGTCATGACGTTCGGCTGGCTGATGTGCGGAATGCTCATCATGTTCCTGTTCGACACAGACTTCCAGACTGCTTTGACGATATCGGCCTGTCTCACCCCCACGGATCCTGTTCTCGCGGCTTCCGTTCTGTCAAACAGCCAGTTCAGCACCCGAGTACCCAAGCGGATTAGGGACTTGTTGAGCGCGGAGAGTGGTTGCAACGACGGCATATCCTTCCCGTTCTTGTATCTGGGGTTGAGCCTTCTCCTGAAGAACACCGCTAAAGGCTTCTTCACGAAATGGTTCCTTGTTACGATACTGTACCAGTGCGTGGTAGGCGTTCTCCTCGGTATCGCCCTGGGATACATCTTCAACAGCCTGTACAGGTTCTCGCACAGCCGCGAGTGGATGGGTCGAGCCTCTTACCTGGCCTTCTACCTCCTCCTGGCCATCTTCTCTATCGGACTGGCATCGGTTCTTGGAGTCGACGACTTCCTAGTGGCCTTCTTCGCAGGACGTGGCTTCGCGCACAACCAAAAGAACCCGACAGAAGGAACCGCTCTACCTGTGATCATTGACTTGCTGATCAACTCGGCCTTCTTCATCTTCTTCGGTGCAATGATCCCTTGGGCGAGCTTCAACGCGGTGGACGGGATCACCCCTCTCAGATTGGTTGCTTTACTCGCACTCATTCTACTCTTCCGCAGAATTCCGATTGTTTTCACGCTTTTCAAGTCGAAAATGTTGCCATCCGTAAAGACTACAACTGAAGCTCTCTTTGTCGGACATTTTGGACCAATGGGTGTCGGTGCCCTCTTCCTAGCCATCGAAGCCCGTGCGCAGCTCGAGACTGGTACATCCCTACCTCTTCCGCATCCGCCTAAGGATCTGCCCGTGGAGCGACAACGGACAGCTACTGTGATATGGCCCCTTGTTTGCTTCATTGTGCTCGGCAGTACTATGATCCATGGCTTTAGTACTCTGGCTGTCAGTATCGGAGGCCATCTCGCGCGTCACGAGGGTGAGAGGGCTCCTCTGATCGGTGCTGAAACGGAAGGACTACATGGCATGATCCATGACGACAGTGAGGGCGAGGACGAACATGAGTAGTACAATGTTGTTCTCGGACGAAGACCGTTTGGCATGGGATGAACGTTGGAGCTTGGTCTGGTCTGAGCTTGGGCGCCAGCACGACACTGAGAAGGACGTCAGTAAGATGACGACGACACGCTACCGTCGGATTGTTGTATCTGGGGTTCAAGTCTTCTGACTTCACAGTGTCTGGACGAATATATGAAGTACGATATACGCCCACAATGTCGTTCTACTCACAGTGCGCGCAAGAGATGTAGATGCTTACCTTGAGTATACATGATAAATCGAATACGGTCAGTCCCAGACCAGAATCTGGGTTAACAACCATGTCGACTGAGTTTTGTACAAGTATAGGGCCACCTACTGTGCTGGATCTCGCTAACAGCTCAGCATCAAATGTTGCGCCTGGGGTTAGGCATGATGTTGCCTGTCCGTCCCCGTCCCCAACACCAGATATCAACAGCTCTCCCACCATAACATCAGACGGCCTCGCTAACCTCACCCCTCTCCCCACCCAGTCGCCAAACGAGATCCAAGACCTCGACCCAAACTACCCAAATTACCGCGCAACAATCCACTACTACATCCTCTCCCCCAGCGGCACACTAACCCAAGAAACTCACCCGACCCCGTGTCCCGTACATCCGTCCTCCTCTCCCTAGAATACTTCTACACCCTCCGCAAACACCTGACCGCTAACCTGTCCATCTTATCAACCTACCCCGATGCAGCCCTTGCCGCAATCCACGAGAGTAGTAGTAGTAGTAGACGGTCGGCTACGCTGACGGCGTTGGAAACTGTACAATGTGCGTTTGCCATGCACCACATCGCCATCAACGAGAACCTGCGCGCTGTGAATAGTGATTGGGGTTGTCACGCGTTTGGTTTACCGGATCCGCTGGGCGCAGCGGCCGATATCAGACATGATAGGAACTTTTTTGCGCATAGTTTCCCGACGCCGAGGGGGAAGGGGGTTCAGTTGGTGTGGGCGGTTAGGGGGAAGAGGGGGGTTTATGGAAGGTTACTGGGGCTGGTGGAGGGCGGTGTTTGTGGGCTGCAGGGGCAGCTAGATGATCTGGAGAAATGGGATTCGGCGCGGAAGATGGAAGAGGAGAGACTGGAACGGGAAACAGAAGAGCGGACGAGGAGAGAGGATACTTCGCAGGTGGAGGATTGTGTGTACGAGCAAGAAGATGACGCGGAGGGGATGGCGCCGCCTCGGTCGATGTTCTCACGTGTCTTCGACAGCTTTGGCGGTAACGTGGTCGTCTCGCGCTGCTTTCGTTTTGGCGTCGTGCGTAGAGCTGGGTGGAGGCTGCTGGGTTGGTTAGGGGATGTTCTAGCGGAAGCTGACACTGCTGCTCAGATTAGGGCGCGCGAAGAGGGGATTGGGGAGTGTGGAGATGAAGATGAATGGGGGAGTCGGGAGGACAAGATTGGAGATGAGGACTGCTGTGGGAGTCAGGAGTGCGAGATCGAAGAGGACGAGTGCAGGAGTCAAGAGTATAAGGTTGAAGATGACGGAGGCTATGGGAATCATGATGTTGATGCGCCTCCGTCATGGCCGGATAGTGGTTGGGGTGAGCCGCAATGGTAGGAGCGAGGTGGCTCGAGAGTGCGGGGAAGGAAACGACTGGAGGAGTCAGGAGTACAAGATTGGAGATGGCGAGTGTGATAGAAGTCAGCATATTGACGCGCTTCTGCCATAGCCAGATAGTGGTTGCAGTGGCCCGCAATCGTAGGATGGAGGTGGTTCGAGCGCGTCCTCCAACTCTCCGCCAACACTGAGCTTAGGTCCTTGTAAGTGCACGTATACCACAACACGCGACTGATCGGTAGTAAAATAAACGGCACGCCTATCCTGCCATGTCTACTATGGTATCCTTACACTCAGAAAGCCGAGTTGACGCAAGTCGACACCATGACTAGTACTCCTCGCTTTGGGCATAGCCATGCTACCCAGAATCATCCTACATGATCTAGTAACAGTCACTCTCTCACACACTCCTCAGATCGAGTCACTCGCTTGTAGAGATATCTGACTCAGGCGCAGTATAAAAGCTGCTCTCAAAATAGGTGTATGCTACTTCACTCTACAACACATTCGAAGACGAGAAACGAACGACTTACTACCATAAATCATTCTCCCTGATCTTACTCAATTCCAAAGTCTCTATCCCACCCGAAATGGTCGTCCTCACATCCGTCCAAGTCGTCGATATTCTCGGCGTCCTGCAGACCAACATCAATACCACAATTACCTTAGCCGACATCTTCATTGCTATCAACAAGACTGCTACTCCAGCTAAACAAAACGACCACTTAGCGCATTTCACCCAGCAACCAAACGGCAGTTACATACTCAGTCCCCGGTCGGGCTTTCACACTATGGTCGGTGCGTATAACCATAAGCTGAGAGACGGCTTCATTTCTGCACTTACGATGCATATCCAACCCAGCGCGGCCAACAAAAGCTGACTATGATCGATTCTTTAGGCAATTACAGGGAAAATTGGCCTGATTTTTGGACCGGGATTCACGAGAACCCGATTCCAAGTGTCTTGAGCAATAGATACGTTGTGAATGCGACGCCTGAAAACCCGAATCCTGTCTAGACGAATCGTGCCGTCGAAGGCTGGGAGGATGATGCTGAGGGAGGAGACGGCTTGGTGGGGCCTGTACTATTACTGGGTGCAGGGAAATTGAAGTTGGTGATGGAATAATCTCTTCCCTTTCTCATGATGGACTGGTAATTGGGCTATACTAAAGTGGTGGAGTCTACTATCATTTAATACTAAACACGGCTTGCACAAACAATGGTTCCGCGCACAATAAGTTACTCTTGCTCACCTCGGAATTCAACTCATTCAATTTCGACAACCAATTAAATAAGTTGCGTTTCTCGTAGATATGTTCAATCGTTATCTCATATTCCTTCAGATCTCTCCAAGAAATACCTTGTTTAGACGGTCTCGTTGTAATGAGACATTTCTCTCGAGTCTTTGGTCTTCTAAATGTATACATTCATGAATCTACGCTCAGATAGTTGCACGAGCACCTACACAATAACACGCAATTTGGGAACTTAGAGAAAGTACACACCTGTTTAATCACGCGCTATTGTTCTACTATTATCAAGACATAGCCACCTATTTTTGCCTTGCGTACTGGAGCACTGTTCAGAATAGTCCTTCCACAAGACTTAGCCACGTGCAGTCACTCTCTCACTCACCTCAAATTCCCACATACTCACTCTTGAGATATCTCACTCCCTCCCAGTATATAAACAAGCCATCAGGAACCATGTATCCCTCTTCCATAAACACCACACTTTTTAGAACGAGAAACACAGCTCAACATCATCAATTCTCTTCCCACCCTTTACAACAGATCCAAGCATACAAATCCCAACAACAATGCCAAACGTCGTTTCAGATCTGATCCCCACCAAAGCGGGCCACCTCCCTGGAATCCTCACTTTCCTCAAATCCGGTAACCAAGTTACCTTGACCGACATCAGGACCATGTTCGATCAAGTCCACCCTGGTAGCGCCGCGGACCACTTCGAGCCCTTCGAAGGCGGTTACAGGCTCACACCTCGTTCGGGCTTCGTCAATCTCATCGGTAAGTATCAGTCTGAATTGGACAGCCGAGATTGGTTTTGCATGGATTTCGCACTGCTCAAAACGCTTGCCTAGAAGAGACTGACCGTGAGCTTTCTCATCACCGACAGGCCATCTCAGGGACGAATGGCCAGAGTTCTGGATTCAGATGCGCGAACAGCCTATCCCGGAGAACTTGAGCAACATGCAAGGACCTCCCGTTCAGTAGACGTCTACCTACCCAAGTGGATACATGGTACGGTCGAAGACGGATTGCGATAAGGGAAGGGGAGCGAGACGGTTACTTTGACGGGACGTCGCGATATTCGACACGGCTGGAGCTATTGGTAATTGTCCGGCTGGGTTTTGATACATGTATTCAATGGTTATTGTACGGTCTGTAATCTCAAAGTGGGCATTCACTAAGAAATAAAATGTGTGCAAAATGCCCAGGTAGCCTCCTCGCTGCCCGATGAGTACATGTGAGTCTAATACTACCTAGGTATTCTAACGTATACAACAGAAGAGTTACAAGGATATCTAGGTAATACGGGTGTCGGTTTGACAATTTAGTCGAACGGAGAAAGATGATGCTCACCTGGGCAATGCAAAGGTGTTGATAGGTGGCTCCTTACCTCCGGGGTGTTACGCCCGATGACCTAATGTGCGCCAACCCCACTTCGCACATGGCTGCGCGCGCATCCTCCCACCACACCATCGCAGCGTACCTAGGCAAGTAGGGCTTTCAGTCATCTTAGTGTTGTATCCAGTGTCCAAGTTCTTGTTGGCCAAGGTTGAGCAGGTTGGTACAATCAATGGATCTCCTTGGCATCGGCTCAGCCACCATGAGTTTGGGATCATGTGTTACGAGGCTGTGCTGCTGCCTTGAGGTTGATAGGTAGTGTTGATCTTGAGCACATCATCACATGGAAATCCTATTCTCAGAGCGTAAGCGCTAGTCAGAGAACAAGTCCTCGACAGTGGCTTTTGATGAAATCCGGTTCTTATTCTTTTCTTTTCTCTCCTTACCGCGCTTAGACTTACGAGCTTCTTGCCCTCGTTTAGTTTCCGACTCGTCTTCTGTGTAAGTTGTTGTAGTGCGGCTAGCTTTTCCCCCAACAGCTACTTACATCCTAACAGCATCAGACCATTTCGTCCAGTGATTGCTATGATACCACCGACTGGCCTCGTCGCTGAAAGCGAGATGAAGAGAATACGCGAATGCGCAACAGAAAACGAAACCCTGGCTCGCTGCTGGGACAAACCGCATGTCGCTCTGGTATCAATGGAGTGGGCCCCGTCTGGTCTGGCCTATTCCTGGAACGGCTGGATATCCTGTAACGAGGCGAGGGGCTACTGGAAGCAAGTAGAAGCGATGCGAGTCTTGTCTGTGGTAATCACCACCCCAGCATCCCCAGCAGTATCAAGCACTGAGGATCAAAGCGATGAAAGACAGAACAAAGCGCACGAGTACCGATTCTGGGTGCCGTCCAAATGGAACGGGAGACCAAACGTTCCCCAATCCAGCTTTGTATCGACCAATGAGGCCGTCGCGGGTCTCGAAAAGATGTTCCGTGACTTGTCATCAACGTATCCGACAATCTGCGTCTGTTTCCATCGACCGACTTTGACTCGGCAGGGTCTAGCCGACATCGGATTCAAGCTACCAAAAGGCACCATTCTTGTCGACATGATCAAGGTACTAGAGTACCAGTCTAGATTTCGAGACATGCCTCCAAAGGTCAAACGCTACATCAATAGTTGCCTGAATGTTGACATGCGCGACGGGGTTCGTTTTGGAGAGAGATTCGACGCAAGCGACAGCGGCGCACTTGCGTCCGACTTCAATAAACACGCGCCAAAATATGGCCAAACCGACGAGTGGCGTGAGATCATCCGTAAGAAAGAAGACCTTCCGGCTGGTACCTTATTGGGCATTCTTGGGCCCGAGGCAGAAGCCCACCTGCGGCAGATTAAAAAGATAGAGAAGATATACACACTGGAGAGGGATGGGCGCTGGGGAATCGACGAGGCAAAGCAAGCAAAGGAGGATTACCAGAAGCAGCTTGCTATGCTACGCCAACAGACAATTGAGTAGCTCTGAGATCCAGAGCGTCAGGAGGAGGGGCCATCACGTAAGTTCTGATGCGAGAGCGTTGCTGGACTCGAATAGGTGTGAGATGGAGATGTGACACTTCCAAGGTTTTTCTCACCTCAGGTGGGGCCGAAGTCGTTGATTGGCCGGCTTTACGCGCAGTCAGGGGCCGACGCCTACATCTTGAGAGCAATTGCCCGGTGCTACCTTTACATCACTTTATGATATCAGCAAGTCGCTGATTAGCCAGCTATACGCTTCCACCATTCAATTCATCTCACCACAAATGATCTGCGTTCGACGCGTGACACAGCCTGATGCTGAGCCGACAGCGAAGTTCAGTGTCGGCCTGATTATTTGCTAGCGAAATCTAAGTATTGATCCTCTCGCCCAGCAATCATATACGCGCTCGCGCGATGACTGTAGTGGAGGCTTTTCATACCTCCAGGTAGGTATGGTGGGCCTCATGAGTGTCGCGCATAGGGCGACAGGCCCGCCCGAGGAACATCAAGGTACCATCCCCTCTTGTACATACATAGATAAAGCCGTGTGTATAAAACTCGGCTCGTTGCACACCTACATTATTGTATTCCATCAACCTACATACTCCTTTCAAGCGCAACATAGCACTCCTCGACTACTCGAATCAAGATGAGAATCGCAGATGGTCTAGTACTGCTCCTGGCATTACCCGCTGTCGTAGCCATGAAGACAGCCATCATCTACCGTGGATCCAGCGCTTGCGACAATTGCTCCGACAGTGTCGGCAGACTCCTCATGAATTCCCCTTACCACTTCAACGTTACGTATGCTGGACCGGACGAAGAAGTGGACCTCAGCCCC